ATCAACTACCACCTCATAGAAATCGAGAGCGAATAATCTAATTGTTTTAGTAGAATTCTTACTAAAATTTACTTCAAATAACGGTTTCCAATTATTTCATAACGTATTATTAAACTTTGCGTCTGAAAAAGATCGCTCGGATGGAACTGTCATTTAAAATTGAAGCTGTGTGTGCGCGCTCAGTTTTTTCAATAATTTCAACTTTTTTAAAAGTCAAAACACCGTAAATGTCCTTCGTTTAGACTTCTCAGGAATCTAATTATCCGTTTGCATCAAAATTGTCCTCCAAAACTTTGGAAAATCGAAAAAAAACGTCACCATTTCGTAGACGATCTCCAGCCACTGCACACTAATGGCTGATAGTGTTCAATGGTTCAGCCAATTAGATTGCAGCATTTGCATTAGTATACTATTAGAATTCTACTAATTGATATTAGTATAAATCTACTAGCGTTGTATCACGAATGCAGTTCTGTGATTGGCTACGCTACGCACTATCTATTTAAACAATAGAGTGTTTCTGTATAGGAACTATCGGCTGATAGTTGCCCCGCGGAAATTTGGTGTTCTTAAATTAAACAAATATTTGCCCGAGAAGGGAAGCTTCGAGGGTAAATATACTAGTTTGAACAGCACGAAATTTTCAAGGGCAACTATCAGACAGATAGTTCCGAGACTTACACAATCTGTTGTCTTTGTTGTTCACCACTAATTTTCTTCCTCACGCCAGTTCAGAAATCATGTTGAATTATTTTCAACTATTTTAGTGAAAGCCGTGAAAGCCATATGTAAAATTTGAAAGAGAAAACAGACAAAAACCCACCTAATGCAATTTCGGTTGTTTATTTTCTATAAGCCCGCTTGTTTACAGAAAGATTTTCACAGACGAGTACTATCCATCCGGATATTTTTCTCTGACGGGCACTATGAGCTGATAGTGTCTCTCCACGGATGAACACTATCGCGTCACATGATCAGTTTAAACCAATGAGAATCGGAGAAAATTTAGTGGTGAAATATAATCTCTTGTAGATAGTGAGGGGTGTAGCAGTGTGAGTTGTCAACAAAATGACAGCCGCTTTTTTTGCGTTTTCGAGGAAGAGGATTTATATAAAGTTGTGAACGACTTGTAGATTTATACTAAAACTATTAGATTGTTCGCACTCAATTTCTATGTGTGATAGTTCACTTGGGCTGCGCACTCGTCAATTATCGCGCGATAGTTGACGATAGAAATCTTGAGCTCAAAATCTTATTGTTAAATAGCAGATTTGCACGATATCTTCATTTGACTACAACTACCAACACGAGCCTCCATGTTCTAACTGTGAAACTGAAAATAGACGCTGGAATACCTAACATTTTGTTTTGCTAGAAAGCGTCTAGTCGCGTGGTTATTTGACTATAGTGTTTAGGTCTATAAGTAGGGAAATCCAAACTAAATACGAAAGTGGTTTGTTATGAACGAAAAAGTCGAAAAAAGACAGATTACGGTCGGGGCGTTAATGGAAAAATCCCCGTTCAAATTTAGCCAATGCTTTTAAAGAGGATCACGGCAAACAAGAAAAATAGTGCTAACAATATGTACTTGTTGAAAATGAAATTTTTTTTCACATGTAAATTTGTGGAAGTAGAATGCGTAGTTTAAATCCTTTAATCTTCCCTTTGAAATTTAAGAAAATAGTGGTCACTCGAAAATCAAAACAAAATTGTAGCGGTCAAAATGATTTAGACCTTGGAAAAATCGTGCTGGAGCGATTTCGTGATTGCTCATACTTGTACATGCACATCCCCGACAGATCGCTGACCGGGATTTTCCCGGCGTAGCCGAAAACCACGCTCATCACGTATCTGGATCATATGACGGTGACTCCTCGTTTTAAAAATCTAGTTTCGATTGCGTTGCGAAAACTATGCGCCGTGACGAAAAAACAACCCAAACAAACAAACAAATGAACGAAACAAAACGAAGGAACATGAATAGAACAGATATGCCATTGTTAACATAAACCAAGTTGTTTTACATGTATTTCACGTTTTGAGAGTCTTTTGATAAATTGAGGAAACGGACAGCTAATATCACGTACATTTCACAGTTTCTGAGTATTTAGTATTGCATAATAACTCATTGATTGTTTTATTCAATAGATCAAGCGAGTAAGTGCTCTTCAACAGCCTGGCTGCCATTTGACATTTATGCTTGAGTTTGCGTTTAGCAGATGATGCAGACGGTCGAGTACTTCGTGCATGGTGATGTACAACGGTAGGAATATGTAAACCCACGAACACAAGGAAATAGGACAAAACACCCTTAGAAAGCTACAGGTCGAGTCTGAACATTGCCTAGTCACTAAAAACTGGCTCAGCCCAGCTGGTCGAAACTAACCTTTTGTTCAATCGGGAGGTTCCGGCGTGCTGTCGCTGCAGAACCAACCTACAATTCGTCATTTCCGTTCCAATATCTACGCCTTTTTTATTTGGTTCTCAGAAGCATCAGTGTTTCGTGAAAGAACACGGAGTTATTATTTTCAAATAGAGATTAAATATAAAATTGAGGGATAAAACCCTTGGGAAATTTCCCACAGCGTGACCAACGCGTTTAGTCATGTGAAACGCAATCGACTCGATGACATCATACTAATAACCCTTTATTTGTGTTTGGAAACAACACGCATAAAAACGGGTAAAAAAAAAGGGAAGGCAAAGGGAGGAGAAAAAAAATTAATAAGAAGTTCAATGGACATATTCTGTCCGTTATAAATTGTTCTACTTCTGGTTAGATAGTAATCCGCTTATGTTAATTGTCTTTTGGGAGCCTCCAGCTCAATAAGCGTTCATGCTTTTCTCGTTTAACAGTTTAAAATTCGAGTGGTCTTACCACTACACTGGAAAAATTCAATGTATTTGCAACGATAAAAAATGAAACAGCCGTTTTCAGATCTTCGATACATTTCAGTGCGGTCTTACACGAATTATTGGTGCACTTAGAGTCACGCGACATTAACGAGGAAACCCCCTGTAAACTGAAACTGAATAATACAATGCACAATGGGAAAAAGCCCCTTCAGGTCAACATGCAGGTATAAAAGTCTCGGACTGAACGACCGTCAGCGCAAAGGTTGTTAGTTGCACTGGGTTGTATAGGGAATCGGTGAAACGTGTTTCGGCGTTGCTGCATTGGTAAGTTACAGTTAGCTAGTATTTGTTTAACGCTGTTTCTAGTCAGTAAATATTCGACTGAAATAATGCTACGAGAAATGTTAATGCTTTTGTTTTCATTGTTAACGTGTACCGCGCCAAAAAATTTTCTGTAAATTCAGTCACTGTTCAGTCGGGAAAAAGTGCGTTCAAATTCGTTTACGTGGGTCACCTAGCTTCTCATGCTCTGCAAATTTGTTACAACGGTCTCTCCGCAATCCCACAACATGACAGACAAGGATGTGGCGCCGGAATTGAAATTCGGAATTGAAAATCGGTTGTTCTAGAGAAGGTACAATTAAGGTATTTTGGGGTGATTACATTAAATTGTAGTTCAGACTACAATTTTGAAGGATACTGTCCAGTTGGTAACAATCTCAGTGTTAGGACCTGCATATTCAGTATACAATTTGCTAACTTTTGGCGCAAATTTCGGAATGACTGTTGCTCATTAAATATTCCGAATTAGATCCGTTCCACCACGGCCAGCTTGAGGGCCAGTTGAACGCAATTAAGTATACTGACCCGAATTTTTCGAAGGCTGGATAACGCTATCCACCGGATAAGTGTTACCAAAACAAACCACGCTATCCAATGGATAGTGTTATCCAGGGCGCGTTCCATTCGACCAAACTTTCCGGAAATTTCGGTTCAGAATCTGGAAATTCGTTTCGAAAATTTCGTTCAACATCTCGAGGTTGTCCTTTTTTCCGGAAATTTGGAAATTCCGGAAATTTCTTGTTCCATTTGGCATTTCTACCCTGAATTTTGCCTCGACCAAAGCTACAAGATGGCGGTGAGTCGACACTACACTGGATGCAAAACGATCTGTCACAGTTCGAGCCAGCCTGCTCTTGGTTGCCTATCCTTCACAAAAACGTTACCAGGATCTGATTTTCTGGACAATTGTGGACTGGTCGTTCCGAATTTCGCCCGGTATGCAAAATCTCCCGCGAGAAAAGTTCGCAAGTTTCTCTCATCAGACGGATATGATGTTTGAGTCGGTCATGTAAGTATCAAGGAAGAGTTTGCTTCAAATAATCGTGAATGTGTGTTAAATCTCTTTGCATGAAGCAGCTTACGCTACTTAAGACACCACTTTCTTATTTTCCTTCGGCAATTTCTCGAGTAGATCTTGGCAAGAAATGTGCCCAAGCGGGAATGGAACCAGATTGGTCCAACCTGTGGAAAATACCGTTCCATTCGACATACGAAAATTTCTGAAATTCAAACCGGAATTTTTGGTCGAATGGAACGCACCACCAGTCTATCCACTTTTCGAACCACCAGGGCCTGAATTATAAACAGTAACGTGGTAGGTAAAATGCGCGAGCGGCTGTCAGTATATTTAGCCAAAGTCCATTTTATCGTAAAATTAATAAAATCTCCAAGAGAACAAAAATAATAATGGTAAATGATCTCTTCGTATGTTAGCAAAACTGATGGAATAACAATCTAATTTAATTTTATATTTGTTTTCTGCTTGTCAGATATCCACTGATCATGCCTGGTTATAAATGTGTCATTTCCGAAAAAGACATGAAGTCTTTTGATCCAAAATACCTCTGCACGTTTTGTGGAAACGTATTGAGGGATCCGGTACAGACCAGCTGTGGACATCGTTACTGCAAGTCTTGTGTAGAACCATTACTAAGGTACTGTATTGTTTACTGACTGTCCCACCCTGCTCCGGCATAGTAGTGTAATAGTTTCATTGCGTTGGTGAATTGGAATCTGACCAATTGTGTCAGACGAGATATGCGTGGAGTATTCTTGAGCAATCTGCTGGAATAAATGTTTTGACAAACACTAGAGGTCACAATACCCTCTCTCAGTATTAGACGAAGTGTAGTCCCTAAAGCAAGAACAACAGCAACAAGACAATGATCATGATGTTCTGATAAAGAAGCCTTATTCAGTACTCTTCTACTTTAGATCGTCTCCTTCTAGGTGTTTGGTGGATAATGAAGAAATCACCGAGAAGAAGGTATGGCAAGCTGGCTCACCTTACTTCCAAGTTAAACGTATCAGAACAGAATACATCATTCGCTTCTGATCCTGATGAATGTCAAGAAAAAAAAATCATTTGTTTTTGAATAACTTTTTCAACACTAACTTGCTCCTAATTTTTCCGTATGATTAACTGGCAAACTGATCGATTTAAATTATTTTCCCACGATAATTAGATATTTGAAGACAAGTTTGCGCGACGCGAAATTCTGTCGTTACCAGTCCAGTGTGCAAACCAATGCGACGGCTGCGATTGGACAGGAGAACTGGGACAGCTAGAGGTATGTCTAGTTGCGGTACTTGTTAGTACTGACGCGTTAGTTTGTGCAGTAAAACGTTTTGGACTAATGATATAATTGCATTCCCCGCAAACAATCTTGAGAGTGTGACCCACAACATAGAAACTTAAGCTACATTTCTTGATTAAGACTCGATGGTAAAAACTTGAAATTGTTAACATGAAATTCTAATAACTAAATGTGCCGGGATATTCACCCCCTTACAGGCGGAAAATAGGGAGATAGAGCCCCCTCATATTTGGGTTTTGGTATGTACTTTGACGCTAGGATTCATGTCTTTAAGAATTATCTGGTTTTTCTTTACTCCACACAGTGCCTCCAATAATACTACTTTTCATTTTTTACACATTGCTAAACCTCCACTGAGGTGATAACCTGTAATTCAAGGACTGAGAATTTGTATTTTGTTATCAAGGATCACGAGGCTCAGTGTCCATATACCAAGGTTCAATGCATGTATCCCAGTTGCGGAGCCCTGATGCTGAGAGAAGACTTATCCCGGCACCTTGAAGAAGAGTGCATGTTTAGACAGCAGCAATGTCAGTACTGCAAGCTGATGACAACAGCTGACAAGCTTAAGGTATAGCCTATTACCCCTCTTTTTATCTTTAACAATATGTACTTTATTAAGAACTACGAAACGTTCAAGTTAATTTCAGAACCATGCATCATATCAGTGCACCATTCATCACATATCTCCCATTTACTTCTCTTCAGTTTATAGGTGGAACGCTCCATTGTCTCAAATCGTAAAATTACAAAACAAAGCGGTTCGTGTTATAAATGATGTTCCTTTGATGGAATCAATAACTCCACACTACTCATCCTTAGGCTTTCTGAGATTTCCTGATACTGTTAAACTGAACACGTGTATGCTTTTTTATGATTATTTCCACCATGATAATTACAGTACCCGTAGTGCATCATCCGACCAAGTTGCGATACCTTCATTTCGAACTAATCTTAGGAGATTTTGCCCCAGCATTATTGGAAGTTTCTTTTGGAATAATATTCCGCAATCCATTAGAGACAAACCATCT